TATGTATGTATGTATGTATGTATGTTGTATGCATGTATGGTATTGTATGTGTATGCATGATATGTGATGTATGTATGCATGTATATGTATGCATGAGTATGTATGTATGTATGCATGCATGCATAGTAGTATGTTGCATGTATGTATGCATGCATGTATGCATATATGTATGTAGCGTATGTATGACATGTATGTATGTATGTATGTATGTGTATGTATGTGTATGTATGTGTATGTATGTATGTATGTATGTATGTATGTAGTGTATGTATGTATGTATGTATGTATGTATGTATGTTATGATGTATGTATGATATGTATGTATATGTATGTTATATATTATATATATATATATATATATATATATATATGTGTGTGTGTGTGTGTGTGTGTGTGTGTGTGTGTGTGTGTATCTATCTTATTTTCGTTATCTATATCTATATCTATATTTATATATAAACACAATTATTTCGGATATATTACAATAAATATCTTATACATATACATAACATATATATATAATATATATATATATATATATATATATATATATACATAATATATATATATATATATATATATATATATAATATATATACATAAATATATATATAAATATACATATATATATATTATATATATTATATATATATTATATATTATATATATATATATATAATATATATATATATATATATATAACATATCCTCTGACCCAATCCGGAGCCAACCGGAGCAGGACCCGCCTTGCATCCCCATACGCGACGCCAAGAGGTTCTTCCTTAATCAATGCAGGGCGGGCACTCACCCCCCCCCCTCCCCCTCGTGCCCTGACACCGCCCGGCGCCATCGAACGACCCCGCCCCTCACGAGGCCATCAGCACTTGGCCTCCCCTGACACGTGACCTCGGACGGCACCGGCGTTAATCCGATAAAGGCGGGGTCACTGCGGAGCATCGCAGAAGCCTCCTGCACCGCGCTTCTTGCTCTCTCTCTCCTCTCTTTCCCTTTCTTCTTTTTCATCTTTTTCTTTTTTCACTCTCTCTCTCTCTCTCTCTCTCTCTCTCTCTCCTCTCATCTCTCTCTCTCTCTCTCTCCTCTCTCTTCCTCTCTGCTCTCTCTCTCTCTCTCTTCTCTCTTTCTCTCTCTCTCTCTACCTTCTTCTCTTTCTGTCTCATTCTTTTCTCCTCCCTCTCCCCTCTTGCGTGGTGTATATAAACACACACACATACATATATATAAATGCGATATAGATATATAAAATATATATACATACATAGCATGCAAATAATCACTCAATCACTCACTCTCTCTCTCTCTCTCACACACACAAACAAACATGTACATGCCTATGTATGTATATATTATACATTATAGTATATATATATATATATATATTATATATATATATACTAATATATATATATACTAATATATAATCATATATATTACCATATACACATACGAAAACCACTTTATCCTCTCTCCTCCTCCCTCGCTCTCTTCCTCCCACCCCCTCCTCCTCTCCCTCCCCCACAGCCCCTAAAACACCCTCCCTCCTTGCCCTCCCTCCACCCCCTCCTCTCCTCCATCCCTCCTCTCCGCTTCCCTCCCTCCCACCGCCCCTACTCAAAAACACCCACCTCCGGCTCCTCCCATCCACCCTCCACACTCATCCTATCCTCCCCTTCCTTCCTTCCCTCGGCCGCTCCGACCCCCCCTCTCAAAAACACCCCTCCCATCCTTCCCTCTCTACCCTCCCTACCCCCTCCTCAAACACGCCCTTCCCTCCATCCCCCACCCCTTCCCTCCGCTTCCCTCCCTCCCCTCCCCACCTCCCCTCTCAAAACACCCCGCGCCGCGACCTTCACCCTCAGCCTCGAACTTCGCGTGCGCACGTGAATCATAAATCGGCGGGATCAATGTGTCAATAAATTGGTCTATCGAGCTTTTTATCCCGCTTCTCTCTCTGGGCCACGTCCCTTATCCTATTACGTCTCATCCTGTCTTTATTTTTTTCTTCTCTCTCTCTCTCTCTCTTCTATGTATCTCACCCTCACCTCCCCCCATTTAATTTTATTTTCTTTTTTCTAATATTATCATTATTTATTCTTATTTTTTCTAAATTATTATTATCTTTATTATTTTTATTTTTTTTTTGCGGGGATCTATAGAAATGCCAATTTCAGGCGGATTTAAGGTGTATTCTCCGTCCTTCCGGGTTGCGAGGGGCAAGCAACCGCAACCCAATAAACAACAAACAAAAGCCGTCTTGACGAACTAGCACTACTCGTGTGCGTTCTCGTCCCGTTCCCGTTCCGAGTTCTGTTCCGTCCCGTTCCATTCTCGTTCCGTCCGTTTCCGTTCCAGTTCCTCGATTCCGTGCCCGTTCTCGGTCCTTCGTTCCCATTCTAGTTCCGTTCCTCGTCCAGTTCTCGTTCCGGTTCCGTCCAAGTTCTCGGTTCCGTTCCCGTTCCAGTTCTCGGTTCCGTTACCATTT